AGAGACCCATGAGGTGATGAGGAGAAAATGGATTGGTCATTCTCTAAAAGAGGAAGAGAGAGAGGAACTGGAAATAAATCGTAAAGAGAAAGTTTCAGAATTTTCGATACAAAGACGCATATAAAATGTGAACGACCGTAGAAGAAGATATTAAGGTTTTAACTTCATAGCTAATCGATAGATGGCATAGATAATAATTCTGGGGTTGTGTGAATGATACAGGCCGTTTGTGACGTAATTAAGACGGTCGATATAAAGCGATTTTCCGGTATCGATCGATTGTGAATTGTAAATCAGTGAAGTAGTTGCTTTGAAGAAGAATGGTTGTGTGTGCAGAGTTCGTGCGTTTGCGTTGTTATTATTTTGTAACTGTGTCAGTGGTAGGTGATAGCACAGATCGAATTGAAGTTTAATTGAACCATGAATGCATTCGGAGGAAACAAATGATAAATTGTAGTCATATACAAGTTTGTTTGTAAAGACTAGTGTACGTAAAAAAATAGTGACGCGTTTCACATCGGTACATTTATCTACTGATTTTACCATCCGTTAAATACATAATGAATTTTAAGACTAGAAATTGCAATGATAAGGTTAATTTGTGACTGTGGATGTTCTGTCTTCGGTTTCTAAACAATTGTGAGACAGCTTAGCATTCCCTAAAAGTTACACAGAGCAGCCATGTTGTGAAGGATAGCAGATTTTGGCAGCATGACTTAGGAATTGATATTTGTTGGAGTGTAGATTGTTTAAAGTTTAATACAATAATGTTTATTCATTTATTCAACGGCGCTGAATCAGCTGTTAGGATGTTTTTTTAACTTCGAGTTAGAAATGGTAATGAATAGCGTAATGACAAAGGATGTGGGGAAACTCGATCGTAGATAATACAATCTGTGAAACATGACATTAGGTTTTATGATCGATATTTTAACTGGAATCATCGAAATTTGGATCCGGGAACACTTTCTACGATGTGAAATTCGGTGTGGTTTAGAATGGTAATGTACGGTGAGCTGAAGAAAGCCGTCATACCCTACTTAAGAGGGTTACTCCAAAAGTAATGCACCATATTTTTAAAAAAAAATCCTGTACCTATCCACTGACTGAATAGCAAAGTTGTAAAACAATAATTGAATTCAAAAAATATGGTGCATTACTTTTGGAGTGACCCTCGTATTTGGCTGAGAAAAACCACTACACAATTAAAATTACCTGTGTTTGGAACAGCCTGTGTGCTAGCTATTCAGCGGTTTACTAAGAAACGTGATCAGTTAAAATGTTCCTATAAATAAAATATAGTAAGTGGTTGAACGTGATAGTGAAATAAGTGTTCAGTGAATAGACATTTTGTGCAGTGACCCAGTGCAGCAGCGCGAGCTGAAGACCAGGAAACCAAAGAAAGGTCAGTAAAGTATTTTCTGATTAATGTTTCGTGAAGCTGACAGGATTATTAATGTTTTATTGCACTGAGAGGAATTAACTGCGAAACCGAGTTGAAGCCTTATTCTCCAACGAGTAATACTCGAAGCATGGAGAATGAATGGAGTATGATCTGTTATTAGGCGTACATGAATTATGAATCCCCAAGATACAGGTCTGGAACACGATTCTGCTGTAATTGCCAAGGGTTGTAGCGTTGGTAAACAGTTTACAATGTGATGGCCGTGCATCCGAATTCAGATTTCTTTAAAATTTGTCTTTTGTGCCCCACAACACATGCAAGTTCTAAGCCATTTTTAGAAATTACGTTTTCACCCACAGCCGCTTTGGTGGGCAAACCAGAAGGAAATAGATCACTAGGAAGACCTAGACGAAGGTGGGAGGATAATATTAAAATGGATCTGCGTTAGGATAGGGACCAGTGGTGGTCTCTTGTGAACACGGTAATGGACCTTTGGGAATTTTTTGAGTGGCTGAGCGACTGTTGATTTCTCAGGAAGGACTAGGCCCTATGGAGTATGCCTAAGGTGACTACATCAAAAGCATATTTCTAACCGAACTTAAATGTACCTAACTGAAAGTAACTTTCCGAAACCTAACACATTATAACCCAAAATATGATATACATTTCGTATCTATTAAATTTCGACACTCGATAATACCAGGATGATGCCACCTTGAACTTGTTACGTAAATTGATGACGTCATTGTGGATGGTCCGCTCCGATAGCGCAGCCGAAGGTTACCGCTTACTTGAACGTAACTACGAACTCAAGATCAAGTGTACCGCAATCTCTACTCCATACCTTTTTTCATGGCGTAGTCCTTGATTAACAAGAAAAACAATGCCCACGACGGTCATGAGAGCTGAAGATTTAGGCGGTATGTTCTTCCGAATTGTTGATACCAAAACGGCTTTACAGCCTTTTAGACCACAGCTCCCTGAAAACCTAAAATCATGCCGGTGAGAACTTTATTTTCAACTTGCGTGTATAGGTCATTTGAGCCATCTGTAATTCATATAGTCCGTTTTTGGAGAAGAAACCACAGTTTTGATTTACAATTTTTTCTCTTCGGATTTTCTTCTGAAACTTCAGTTCTCATGCGTATGGGTTAAATTTGTAGTGTTTATTACGGGATGCTTTTAGAGAAAGGATGATATTAAATATTTTATAATACGGGTTTAATTTTAAATATTTTATTACAATTTTATTGGTAATATAAAACAATTCATGATCCTGTGAAAATCTAAGGTTTGCTGTTAGTATTTTGTGCGTGTCTAGCCTTTATTTT